ATCTTTTCTTTTAAATAATTACTTTATTAACTTTATTTATTTGTTATTATTTTTATTTGGACAGAGAGGGACAGAATGAGAGAGAGAGATAGGGAAAGTGAGCAAGACATCAGGTTCGGAACTTGAACTGCGATCGGCCATGCGGGAGTCCAGCACCTTTAACCACACGCCACCTGCCAGCCCCGTTAGCAGATGTATCTTGATCAAATACTTTCTCCCAGGCCCAGCTGCAGTGGTGCAGGTATTTTGTGCCACTGTGTAACACTGGAACCATAAGAGAAGGCCCTGGGTTTAGATCCCAGGTCAGCCTGAGAAATCCAAGAGGGCTTACTGCTGCACCTGTGATCCTGACTGGCTAGAAGGCTGTGGAGTGTTTTGTGATGTGGCAACACTCTGTCAAGGGTGTGTGTGTGTGTGTATGTTTGTTTCTCTCTCACATGAAATAATTAAAAAAAGAAGAATCAGCCGGTGGCAGTGGTGGTTAAAGTGGCTGGATCCCCTATGGATAACTACAGTGTTTGAGTCTCAGACCTGGCTTATTGAAAAACATGCCAGGCACATGTGTGTTCATGCCCAAAATCCTGAAAGCAGAATGGAGGAGAAGGGATTGTGGTGTGGCCATCCCCCCATGGAGTGCTTTCTCACTCTCCCTCTCTCTTTCTCTGCTGAGTGTATGAGCCCTAAAACAAACTTAAAAAAAGTCATCTTCAAACCCATGGTTATCTATATTTTCCTAATGTCTTCTAGGAGTATTAAAAGTTTTGTGTTTTCACATTTTATCTTGTGAGAAATTTTTATTTTGTTTTTATTTATTTATTTATATTTATTATTATTATCACCATGCCATCTGCCAGCCCCTATTTTATATATGTTTTTTGGTATAGCAAAGAGGGGAGTTTATTAACAAAGTGAGGAATTTATTAACAAAATGGGGAGTTTATTAAAGAAGAGAGAAGGAAAAATAGAGCTCCCAAGAAGGGAGGGGTCCTGGAAAATGGGTTGCCTGATTTACTTTATTTTTTAATTTGCCAGAGGGTGTGTATGCTTGTTGGAGAGAGAGAGAGAGAGAGAGAGAGAGAGAGAGAGAGAGGTAGAGAGAGAAAGTGGGACAGCATCCCTCCACACCTCCAGGGAGAACAGCCATGCCACAATGCCTTCTTTCACCTCTTGGTGTTTTGGGCATGCACACATGTGCCCACTGTGTTTTTCAAGCCACTAGGTCTGGGACTAGAACTGTGTAGTCAGCCACATGGGGGACCTAGATGCCTTAACCACCATGCTGCCATCTGACCTGCCCATGTTGTTTTTAAGCTATTAGGACTAGTATTTGAACCATAGTCAACTATGTGGACTATGGCTTCCCATGCATAGTGCTTTAACCACTGTGATACATGGCTGGCCCAATATTAGGATTGTGTTAGATGATTTTGGCCAACTGTAGGCTAATGTAAGTGTTCTGGGCACATTTAAGGTAGGCTAGGTGCCTAAGCTATGATGTTTGGTAGCTTGAGTGTATTAAATGTGTTCTCTACTTAATGATATTTTTACTTTATGATGAGTTTATTGGGAAATAACCCCCACTATTTGTTGAGTAGTGTTTACATTGATATGGGTTTATTTTCAAGCTCTGTAATACTTGCCAATCTATTTTTCTTTCTTTTTACCAATATTACACCATTGATTACTATAACTTTATAGTAGATCTTGAAGTTGGGTAGTGTCAATCCTCCAACTTTATTTTATTTTTATTTTAAAAATTTTATTATTATTGATTTATTTATCTTTTAACTTTGCTATAAAGCACATGAGCTCACTGGAGTGTGTGCGTGTGTGGGGAGAGTGAGAAAGCAGGCTGCCGGATCTGGGATTCGAACCGCAAAGTTAGCCTAGTGAGAGTCCAGCACTTTACCGTCACGCCGCCTGTTGGCCCCCCTCCAACTTTGTTTTTTTCCCCCATCATTTATTTATTTATTTTTACATTTTCCCACAAACATTTACTTAATATATCAAGCAAATTTTGCTCATATTCCACAGTTCTTGACAGTTAATAAATGACTTTCAAAATTTCAAAAAACTGAATTTTAAAGATAATGTTCGAGGAACCAGTAGTTGGCATAATGATTATGGATTCCCATGTAGTCGACTGCAGTTTGAGTCCCAGACCGCGTGGCTTAAACTAATGCCAGGTGCGTGTGCGTGCATGCCCAAGATCCCTAGAGGAGACTGGAGGAGAAGGGATTGTGGCGTGGCCATCCCCCCTCCCCCCCGGGGGGGGGGGAGATTTCTCACTTTCTGTCTCTCTGTCTCTCTCTGTCTTTTTGGTGAGTGCATGTGCCCTATAGCAAAAAATTCTCAAAAAAATTAAAAAAAAATAAAGATGTTTGAAATATTTGTTATAATTTTGTTTGTGACCCTGTAGCAACAGGGACAGTAAGGTTTTAAATATTTTTGAGAAAATATTTACATGTCAGCTACTCAAACTGTTGAAAAGGAAACACCCAGCACATAATTCACACATAAACCTTCTCAAATCAGTCCTGCCTACAAGTATTCTGTGATATACATCTGCTAGCCAAGATCAGTCTCTTTTTCTTCCTTCAAAGTCATCTTTAAGATAATCCTCTGATTGTGTCCTGCTTTCACGGTCTGTATTCCTACTGAAAATCAAGATCAAGGGAGCTTTTGCCCTTCTGTTCCACAGGAGGTTTCTGTCCTACCTGAGCTTGCCTTAGGACACCTGCGTTAGGGTTTGAAAGGTATACTGCCCCAGACAAATTCTCCACCTGGCACTGTCCCCTGATGGGTTTGCACCCAGCCAACTTTTGTGTCAAAAGCAAGAGCCCCTTGCCTCCCCTACACCCCCACCCCCAATAGGGTCAGTGAAAAAACAAGAGTAGTGGCATTTCACCAGCGGCTCCCCAAGGCTGGACGACCCAACCCTGCCCCCTTGTGGTGGTGGGAGGGTGGGAGGACCTCCCACTTATTATTCTACACCTCTCATGTGTCTTCACTGTCTTCACCATGTCAGACTAGAGTAGAGCTCAACAGAGTCGCCCCTGCCCCCATGGATTCGTCCTAATCCGTTCCCTTGGCCATGGTATCGCTGGATAGTAGGTAGGGATAGTGGAAATCTCATTCATCCATTCATGCACATCACTAATTAGATGACGAGGCATTTGGCTACCTTAAGAGTCATAGTTCCTCCTGCTGTTTACCCATGCTTTATTGAATGTCTTCATTTTGATATTCAGAGCACTGGGGAAAAACCACATCACATCAACACCCGCCATGGGCCTTTGTGATTTAACTTTGTTTTTAACTCTTCAAATTGTGTTTGCTCTTCTGGGTTTTACCTCTCTATACAGATCATTAGTATCTCTTATTTAAGATGTTCAAAACTGAAAGTGTTTGGGAACTCTTCCTCTGCCTTTTGGAATATTTGCATATACATAATGAGATATCTTAAGGATTCATTTATGTTTCATATACTACTTATATACAAAGCCTGAAGTTAACTTTTTTCTTTTTAGGGAGAAATTTTTGCTATAGGGCACAAGTGCTTGTCAGAGAGACAGGGAGAAGCAGAGACAGAAAGCAAGAAATCACCCCAGGGGGTCGGGGAGGGATGGCCACACCGCAATCCTTTCTCTTCCATTCACCCATCCAGATTTTGGGCATGCATGCACATGTGCCCGACATTAGTTTTAACCTGCTGGTTTTGGGACTTGAACTGCAGTTGACTATGTGGGAATACAGTGACTTAACCATTGTACCATCCATTGGTCCCTGAGGTTAATTTTTTGTAGTATTTTTGAACTGTAGCATTTTGACTACAATGTGTCATATAGGGCAGGTGTGAAATTTCCCACTGTAGTATCATGTTGGCATTCAAAAAATTTCAGATTTTGAAGTATTTCAGATTCCAGATTTTCAGATTAGGGGTGCTCAGTTTATATAATCTTTCTACTCAGTTCGTTGATATCCACAATACACACAACTTGTTAGGACTATTACATTCATTTTCAGATAAGGAAGCTAAGGCATGGAAAATACAGATAACTCTGGAGATTTAGTGTTGACTCCTCTGTTCCCGCCGGCATAATAAACAGTTCTCCTAATCTCAAAAAAAAGAAAAGAAAATACAGATAACTTATTTGTCTAGAGTCACACTCTATATATTTAACAAATCAATTTTTAGTAAGTTAGTAAGATGTCTGACTCTATAAAATTTTTCATGTATGGAGTGATTTTTAATCTCTTCCAATTGTTAGAAATGCAGTTATCTGAGAATAATAGACTGTATTTAATCCAGTAAAGAATAATTTTTAATAGTTCATTTTTAAAAAGAATAATTTGTTTATTTCATTTAATTTCATTTTTTACTATTATTTATTTTTTAATTTGACTGAGAGAGACAAAGAGAGAGAAAGGGGGGCCGGCAGATGGAGTGGTGGTTAAGGGTGCTGGACTCCCACATGGCCAACCGTGGTTTGAGTCCCAGACTTGGTGGCTTGCGTTCTCACTCTCTCTCTGTTCTTCTCTGGCAAAATATAAATAAATAAATGAATAAAGCCATTATTTAGGAAAAAAAAAAAAAGAGAGAGAGAGAGAGAGAAAGGGAAAGTGAGAAAGCAAGCTGCCAGGTCCGGGCCTCGAACCACAGTCAGCCATGTGGGAGTCCAGTGTCTTAACTACCACGCTACCTGCTGCCCCAATACTTCCTTTTAATACATCCCAGATAATTACAGTTATTTAAGCTTTGGAGTCTCAAAGTATGTTTTTCCTGACTGAAGTTACCTTGACATTTTAAACTGTCTATTCCTTCTTTTATGAACTAGCAAAAGAGGCAGGTATTCTATAGATTACACTTATTATTTTTTCCCTGTGAACTAATATGAATTTGGCTGTATATCTTGAATTTCTACATAAAAGGAACTTTTTAAGTGCCTCCTGTCATATTATATTTATTACCTAAATTCTATACATATATATTTTTTTAGTGGAAAAGAAGCCTAAGAAATAAAGTCATCTCTCTAGACCATGAAGATAAAAAAGGTGTCTGTGGGCGTCTTGTCAGTTCTAAGGCATCACCAGAAAGGTAAGATTTGTGTGTGTGAAATAAGATGGACTTTTTCTAAGTATAATGTGACCGTGGGTAATTCATTTTAAGCTCTTTGGGTCTCACTTAACTACAACATTTAAAAATTAGAAAGGTTGAATTCAAGGGCCTTTAAGATTTCTTTCATGCTCTCTAATTCTTTTTGTTTTCGTACATTTGGAACATTTTGATAAATTTTAGCTGATAATGTAAGAGTTAAATAAGGGGTCTTCAAAAAGTTCATGGAGGGACCAGCAGTTAGTGTAATGGCTATGTCGCTGGACTCCCATGTAGTCGACCGTGGTTTGAGTCCCAGCCTGGCGGCTTAAACTCACGCCGGGCGCGTATGTGTGCATGCCCAAGATTTCAAGAGGAGAAAGGAGGAGAAGGGATTGCGGTGTGGCCAACCCCCCTGGAGGGTGATTTCTAGCTTTCTGTCTCTCTCTCTCTCTGTCTGTCTGGCAAGTACACACGCCCTATGGCAAAAAACCTCTCCAAAAAAAAAAAAAAAAGTTCATGGAAGTTTTTTATGAAAAAACTATGTATGGATTTTGGTTTTATTTATTTATTTTTAACAACAAAATAAACTTGTATTTTAATTCTGTTTTCCACAAATGTTTTGAAGTACGTGGTTAGCTATGAAAAATACTTCATTTAACAACTCTGGCCCTATTGTTGTAGGAATGAATTAATGTATTAATGAATTGTGAATATAGTGGAATTAAATATCTGGAAGATTCAAGTTGTCATTATTAGGGCATTATTAGGGCATCAGGAATGGCATGGTGTATTTTTCTATGCAAAAATGCATCATGACTTTCCCAGTGACTATTATTGGAGGGAATTTAGAGTATTTGATGATTGATCTTCGACAAATGATTAGGAGGTTGTTATTTTCAAGATGATAGTGAATTTTCTTTTTTAGGATTGTGAATAAAACAAAGTAGCAAAGTAAAAATAAAATTACAGCTAATGGAATATCACATAGACTTAGACTGTTGAATTTCTTGAATTTATGTCAGAATAGTTCTGTCAGCTACTTTTTCTTATTCTTCCTTTTCAAGTATTGATATATTGTTGGTAGAAAATATAGAAATATATTGGTGACTTGATAACAGCTTAAAAACCTCCTGACTTTCTGTCATACTATGGACAAATTGACGAGGTGAATAAAGCAGCTCTCTGTGGACAGAGTGATGACACTTTGATCCTCAGAATAACCACAAACACAGTTTACAGATTTGATTTCTCCAAATAGTAAGATCATATCAAAATTATATTTGAATTGAATATATAATATATGTATATATATAATACAAAAATTATATTTGAATTGAATATATAATTGTATGTATGTATACATATACATAAAATATATATAATTTTTTTTTTTTATTTGCCAGAGGGCACATGTGCTTGCTGAATGAGAGAGGGAAAATGAGAAGGCTCCCCTTCTTGGGGGAACGGTCATTCCGCAGTCCTTTCTCTATTTCTCTTTCCTTTCAAGATTTTGGGTACATATACACATGTGCCGAGGCTATGGTCTTATTTTTTAGGTTTTGTCATAGAGCATGTGTGCTCGCTGGAGAGAGATAGAGAGAAAGTGAGAAATCTTCCCCTATCCAGGTATTGACCTTTGCAATGCCTTCTTTTCCATTCTCTAGGGATTTGGGGCATGCATACAAAAGTGCCCAGTGTGGTTTTCAAGCTACCAGGCCTGGTACTTAAACTGTAGTTGGCCATGTGGCATTCCAGTGCCTTAACCACCATGTACCTGCTGGCTCACTGTGTTTTTCAAGCTGTTGAGTCTGGAACTCAAACTTAGGACAACCATCCATGTGGAATCTAGAGCTCCATTAAATCACTGTGCCACTTGCTGGCCCTCTGGAATCATATGTATTTTTTCAGAGAGAGATTTTTGCTACAGATCATGTGTGCTTGCCAGAGAGACAGAAAGTGAGAAATCACCACCCCCCCCCCCAAGGGGGCTGGCCATATTGCAGTCCCTTTTTTTCTTTTTTCTTAGGATTTTGGGCACACCTGCATATGCAACCCACAAAGTAGCAAAGTAAAAATAAAATTACAGCTAATGGAATATCACATAGACTTAGACTGTTGAATTTCTTGAATTTATGTCAGAATAGTTCTGTCAGCTACTTTTTCTTATTCTTCCTTTTCAAGTATTGATATATTGTTGGTAGAAAATATAGAAATATATTGGTGACTTGATAACAGCTTAAAAACCTCCTGACTTTCTGAAATACTATGGACAAATTGACGAGGTGAATAAAGCAGCTCTCTGTGGACAGAGTGATGACACTTTGATCCTCAGAATAACCACAAACACAGTTTACAGATTTGATTTCTCCAAATAGTAAGATCATATCAAAATTATATTTGAATTGAATATATAATATATGTATATATATAATACAAAAATTATATTTGAATTGAATATATAATTGTATGTATGTATACATATACATAAAATATATATAATTTTTTTTTTTTATTTGCCAGAGGGCACATGTGCTTGCTGAATGAGAGAGGGAAAATGAGAAGGCTCCCCTTCTTGGGGGAACGGTCATTCCGCAGTCCTTTCTCTATTTCTCTTTCCTTTCAAGATTTTGGGTACATATACACATGTGCCGAGGCTATGGTCTTATTTTTTAGGTTTTGTCATAGAGCATGTGTGCTCGCTGGAGAGAGATAGAGAGAAAGTGAGAAATCTTCCCCTATCCAGGTATTGACCTTTGCAATGCCTTCTTTTCCATTCTCTAGGGATTTGGGGCATGCATACAAAAGTGCCCAGTGTGGTTTTCAAGCTACCAGGCCTGGTACTTAAACTGTAGTTGGCCATGTGGCATTCCAGTGCCTTAACCACCATGTACCTGCTGGCTCACTGTGTTTTTCAAGCTGTTGAGTCTGGAACTCAAACTTAGGACAACCATCCATGTGGAATCTAGAGCTCCATTAAATCACTGTGCCACTTGCTGGCCCTCTGGAATCATATGTATTTTTTCAGAGAGAGATTTTTGCTACAGATCATGTGTGCTTGCCAGAGAGACAGAAAGTGAGAAATCACCACCCCCCCCCCCAAGGGGGATGGCCATATTGCAGTCCCTTTTCTTCTTTTCTCTCAGGATTTTGGGCACACATGCATATGCACCCCATGCGAGTTTTAAGATTCTTGGTCTGGGACTTGTACTGTTCATCTCTGGAATCATATTTTTTAATTAAAGTAAGCCATAGGGCCTCCTGGTCATGCAGTGGTTTAGGTGGCCAGATCCCATATGGCCAGTTGTGTGGTTTGAGTCTTGGACCCAATGACTTGAAAAGCACGCCTAGTATGTGGATGTCCATGCCCCAAATCTTGAAAATAGAAGGGACTATGGAGTGTCATATCCCCTGGGGTGCTTTTTTTCCTCTTCTTTCTTTCACCGGTGAGTGCATGTGCCCTGCAGCAAATAATGACAGCACTTAAGTCATATTTTCTGGAAGGCTTGCATATACAAAGTGATTTGATTTCATCGGAGAAATCCTGAAGACCTTATGTATTTCAACATTTACTGCATTCAAGTCTCATTTTCTAGAAGAATGCTTGAAAAGTGGTGGGTATAGGTTCTTTGAGAATATCATTAGTAATTGTTGTAATATATAATTTAATATTGCTTTTTATTTTCCTGGCATTATCTTTTTAAAAATTATTTTAAATTTAATTTTATTTATTCATTTATTTATTTTAATTTGGCCGAGAGAGACACAGAGAGAGAGGGAGAGAAAGAAAGGGAAAGTGAGAAAGTAAGTCACCAGGTCCGGGACTTGAACTGCGGTCAGCCATTTGGGAGTGTCCAACGCCCCAACCATCATGTCACCTGCTGGTCCCTCAGCATTATCTTTAATATTTTTATGTTTATTTTCTCTTTTGTATCAACCTAGTATAAAATGGCAAGTGTTTGGTCTTCCTATAGGATTTACTACATCTGACTTCTCTTGCAGAGTTGGTGATTTGTAGGCATGCTGTTAGTGGTAACATTTTATGATCCATCTAATATACACCTAATGACATTGTTAGAGGATAAAGATTTCTGGATTTTATTTATGTTTTTGTCATAGGATCCATATGATCACAAGAAAGAGAGAGAGAGAGAGAGAGAGAGAGGAAAAGTGAGAAATCATCCCCCAAGGAGGATGGCCATACCACAGTCCCTTCTTCATTCTCCTCTCAGGATTTTGGGCATGTGCCTATGTTTTATTTACCACACCACCTGCTAGCCCCAAGGAAGTTCCCTTTTATTTTTAATTTATTGGAGGCTTTTAATCATGAATGTGTGTTGAATGTTGTCAAATGTTTTTTTCTGGGACTCTGTGGTAGAATTTGTATCTTCGGTTAATGTGCTGTATTGCCAAAACAGACTTTTAGATGTTAAACCAACTTTGTATTTCTCAATTAAATTTTACGTAATCTTTTTTTTCTTTTTTAAATTGTCAGAGGGCACATGAAAGAGAGCGGCAGAGAGACAGAGAAGCAAGAAACAGCGCCCAGTTGGGCTTCCCACTAAATCTCTTCTCCTCCATTCTTCATCCCATCAGGATTTTGGATGCACGTGAGCACATGCCCAACATGTTTCTCAAGCCACAGGGGCCAGGGTTCAAATGATAGTTGGACATGTGGGATCTAGCTCCCTTAACCATAGGACCATGGGACTAGCCCTTCACTTGAACTTTTATTTATAATCTTTTTTGTATGTTACTGGATTTAGTTTGGATTTAGTTGAGGATGTTTACATTTGTATGGAAGAGGAAAATTCATTTGTAGTTTTCTTGCATTCTCTTTTTCTGGCTTTGGTATCAGGCTAATTAATATTGGTTTCATAGAATAAGATGAAAAGTGTTCTCTCCACCTTTATTTTCTGGAAAGACTTTGGGGGATTGTATTCTTTAAATACTCAATAGGACTCACCAGTGAAACTATTTGATCATAGCTTTCTTTTCTGTAT